GATTACTAAAAGAGTGACCGGTGCTAACGAATTAGTCTATTCAAGAGATTGTAGTATACAGTACCGTAATCTGCAAATGCATACAAATCTATTTGTAGATATTATTTATTGTGCAGTATGTTATACAGTGTGAAATTTCGTTTGTGTACAAGTTTGTCTGTGTGTAAAAATCCGAAAGTGCCTTAAAATCGCAACAAAGTTGCAATCGAGTGTCGTGCATCTCATTAGCATATCATTATCCCTTCTGGCCTTTGTTTTCTGAAAAAAATTCCCACTGTTACCGAAGTGAATGCTCTAATTAAAGCCGCACCAAGACTTCACGCATCTGAATTCGTCCATTGAAAAAATGAATTTTTTTATTAAAGCCGCAGCCTCAAAAAGGAATTTTACGGTACTGGTGATGGGACTTCATTGCAAGTTGCAGACATTATGCGTCCTCTCTATGAAATGTGTTGCGCCTTTTATTCTGTGCAAATGTTTAGTACAATACACTCAAGTCATCATAGTGGGCAATATCAAAATATTACTTTGATGCCATTTTTTTGATGCCAAATGCATTTTTGACTGCTGTGTGCGAAGCACACAATGGGAGTCTTTGTAGTTACCCTGTCTGTATTTGTGTATGTGTATGTGTGTGTGTGTGTGTCAGTCTGTTCCACTGATATCTCAAGAACCATACATGGGTTTTTGATGAAACTTGGTGCATAGATGCTCTGGTAGAAATCCATGCATATTAATTACCTAATTTGCATGATACTGATATCTAAAGAACCACTCATTGGATTTTGATGAAACTTGGTTCATAGATGCTCTGAACTGATGCCAGGTTTTGATTAGTTTTGGGTGAAAATCTGTGCATATTAATTACCTAATTTGCATAATGATATCTAAACTACTAATCATCACATTTCAATGAAACTTGGTATTTTCAGCTTTTGACATTTCAAGTAGTAAGCATTACATTTCAATGAAACATGGTACATAGATACTCAAGCACTATGCAGAGATCGATTGTTTTGGGATAAATATTTGTGCATATTAATAACCTAATTAGTTAATTAGTAATTAGTTAATTTTCGGATTTTCACATATATCTCAAGTACTAATAATGACTAGGCAGAGATCTGATTAGTTTTGGGGTAAATAATTGTGCATAATAATTAACTTATTTGCATAATTATTTAATTTTCAGCTTTTTCACTAATCATCACCTTTAAATGAATCTAAACTATGCAGAGCCAATTTGTTGTTGGTATATATTTATGCATATTAATTACCTAATTTGCATAATGAATTTTCAACTTTCATACTGATATCTCGAGTACTAAGCATCACATTTCAATGAAACTTTGTAAATAGATGCTCTAGGACAATGTACAAATATGATCAGTTTTAGGTTATAATCTGTTCATATAAATTCCCCAATTAGCATAATAATTCATAATTGTTTGGTTCTGATCACATTTCAATGAAACTTGGTACATAGATGGTCTGTTACATTTCGCAGACCGTATTAGTTTTACACTCTGTTCCTTTTAATTTTCTGATTTGCATAATTAGTTTTCAGCTTTTCCATCAATATTTCAAGTACAAGTAATTTTGAATTAATTTTTACTGTGTCTCTAATACTCCCAGCACACGGGAGTTCTTTCTAAGCTTTCTTTGATTTACAGATTATGACAACTTATTCAATGATGCTTATATTTATCCGACAGGTATGCCTTTTACACAGTAGGCCTTCTCTAATTTCTATGCAGTGTTCAATTACACGTCACATTGAGTGTAGATAAATGTTTTAATTCTTTGCTTTGTATCTGTGTTTAGCTCTTGGTGGTGTACCATCTCCGTTTGATTGTTATCTTGCTAACCGTGGACTAAAGACACTGCACGTGAGAATGCGAGAGCACCAGCGTAATGCTTTTGCTGTTGCAAGATACTTGGAAAAGAGCCCTAAAGTACTAGAGACAATCTTTCCAGGTATATTTCAAATTATTTACTAACTTTGATCGTTGCAGTTATTGCGAGTGTGTCGCAAAATATGCACCAAGACACCACACTGTGACTCTATGCACCGAGACACCACTCTGTGACTCTATGCACCAAGACACCACACTGTGACTCTATGCACCAAGACACCACACTGTGATTCTATGCACCAAGATACCACTCTGTGACTCTATGCAGCAAGACACCACACTGTGACTCTATGCACCAAGATACCACTCTGTGACTCTATGCACCAAGATACCACTCTGTGACTCTATGCACCAAGACACCACACTGTGACTCTATGCACCAATTAAGACACCACACTGTGACTCTATGCACCAAGACACCACACTGTGACTCTATGCACCAAGACACCACACTGTGACTCTATGCACCAAGACACCACACTGTGACTCTATGCACCAAGACACCACACTGATTCTATGCACCAAGACACCACTCTGTGACTCTATGCACCAAGATACCACTCTGTGACTCTATGCACCAAGATACCACTCTGTGACTCTATGCACCAAGATACCACTCTGTGACTCTATGCACCAAGATACCACTCTGTGACTCTATGCACCAAGATACCACTCTGTGACTCTATGCACCAAGATACCACTCTGTGCCTCTATGCACCAAGATACCACTCTGTGCCTCTATGCACCAAGATACCACTCTGTGACTCTATGCACCAAGATACCACTCTGTGACTCTATGCACCAATTAAGACACCACAATGTGACTCTATGCACCAAGACACCACACTGTGATTCTATGCACCAAGATACCACTCTGTGACTATGCACCAAGACACCACAATGTGACTCTATGCACCAAGACACCACACTGTGATTCTATGCACCAAGACACCACACTGTGACTCTAAGCAACAAGACACCACAATGTGTGACTCTATGCATCAAGACACCACACTGTGTGACTCTATATATGCACCAAGACACCACACTGTGACTCTATG